AAAAAAAAAAAATAAAAATAAAAATCAACGAAAAAAAAAAGGAAAAAAAAAGGGGAAAAATAAATGTGAGGATCGAATGAATAAAATTTCCAATGGGAATAAAATTGGGTTGTGTTTGCTGTGGAGATGACAGGCGGTTTTGATGCGGCAAGCCGTCCGTGGACCACACAAAGACACGAGAGAGAGAAAGAAGGAAAGAAGGAAAGAGAGAGAAAGAGAGAAAGGAAGAGAGAAATAAATATATATATGTGGAGATATCTGTTTTTTTCTTTTTCTTCTCTTTTGTCTCTTTTTTCTCTCCCTCCTTTCCCCTTCCCATCTCTCTCTCTCCCCCTATATCTCGTTTTTATTTTATTTTTCTCTTTGTTTCTATTGACGTATGATATGGGCTCTTTTTTTTTTATTATTATTATTATTATTATTTCGTTTTCACTATAATAATGATGATACTAATAGCAATAGCAATAGTAGTAGGACTGATACTAGCAATTAGAATAATGGTGATAGTACGAGGGATTCATCTTTATATTCTATCTCTCTCTGTTTCTTCCTATTAAGAGATGGAGATAGATAGATAGATAGATGGACCGAGAGGAAGAGAAGGAAAGAAAGAGGGAAAAAGAGATGGAAAGAGAGAGAGAGAGAGAGAGATACAGATAAGTGTCTCTTTCTTTCTCTAATGGGTATATATATATATATATATTACTTGATTTTCTCTCTTTTTGTTTGTTTTCCTTTTTATTTATTTCTTTTTGTTGTTGTGCGATTCTTTCGTTATTTTATTGTCTATGGACGATAAATAGTCATTACAGGCATGGATAATGTGAAGGCCTGCTGTAGACAGAGAGGTGAAGTACTAATAGTAATCGTAGTAGTAAATGGTAATTAGTAATGATTAGCAAGGGGGAAGGTGGGAAATAAAGAGAAAAGAAAAAGGAACGCATCACTTGAGAATAGAAAAGAAAAGAAAAAAAAAAGGAAAAAAAAGGAGGAGGGAGTAAAGAGGAAAGGTGCACATGAAGGAACAAGAAGAAGGGAGAATATATCTATATCTATCTATCTATATATATATATATATCTTTTTCTCTTTTTTTTTCTCTCTGTTGGCAATGATAGCTGGCAGAGAAGAAGAAGAGGGTAAAAGAGTAATATCTGAGGGTAGTAGAGTTAAGCGTCCGTAGGGCTATATATATATATAAATATAAATATAAATATAAATATAAATATAAATATAAATATATGTCTGACTCTACTTTTTGGGATATATTAGTCTTTCTGTCGTCTATTCTTTCTCTTTGCATGAATTCTTCTAACGGCACCCCTTTCCCTTTTTTTCTCTCTTCTATATGTATGCGTTTTTTTTTTTTTTTATTATAATGATTATTATTTTTCTTTTTTTTTCCTTCATCATTTCCTCATTTTTGGTATGTACGTATGAATCCCCATTTTTATCTTTTTCTTTTTTTATCTTTTTTTTTCATCTTTATGGGGATAATGAATAAATGATGATGTTGAATGATGACGTTTGCTCTTGCTGTTCTGTTCTGTTCTCTACGGGTATGTTGATATCTTTTGTTGTGTTGATGTTCTTTTTTTTTTTTTCTCTATTCCAGCACTGCGGGTGGACTCTGCAGGGGTTGGGGAGGGCCCACGTGGCAAGATGAAAAAAAAAAAAAGAAAATAAAGAATAATAAGAAATAATAATAATAAAATAAATAAATAAATAAATAAATAAATAAATAAATAAATAAATAGGGAGAGAGAACATTGGAAGAGAAGAAATAAAATGAATGAGTCTGTCTGTGGATGAGAGGAGGAATAGACGCTGGTTCCCCAAGGAGTGGCAGGCATATTTACATACAGACATTTCTCTGTTTCTTTTGTTTGTATTTTTCTCTTTGCTGCCGCATTGTTCTTTCAGCCTTTTTTTTTTTCTCTCTTATTATTCTATTCACAGTCTGATTGTTTATTTTTCATTTTCTTGTTTATCCCACCTCCAAGCTATTCCTATTGCTATTCTTAGTATCATTATTACCATTTACTATTACTATTACTATTATTGGGATTGCTGTTATTATTATTAGTATTGGTATTATTATTACCTATTATTATTACTATTACTATTATTGTTATTATTTCTATTGTTATTATTGTTATTATTAGTATTATTATTACGGTTGGTATTGACTACGATGAGTGGTATTATTATTGGATTCTCTGCTATTGCAGCTCTCCATACTGAAATGGCCTTCTGCTGAGGGGGCATATTAGTAACAACAGGAGGAGGTGTGAATGACCAACATATATATATATATGTATAAGAGAGAAAGAAGTAAAGAGAAGAATGGAAAATAATACGAACATCAATAGATGCGAGGCAAGAAGTATAAAAAAGAAAACGAAAAAAAAAAGAAAAAAAGGGAAAAAAAGAAGAGGAGAAAACATACAACATCGTCAAGTAAAGAAGAATATTAGAATGAACTTGGAAGAGAAGAAAAGAAAAGAAAAGTTTTTTTTTTTTTCGTTTTTGCTTTGTTTTATAAAGCTGATAAAACAAAGGAATAAGATAAAAAGAACAAAAAAAAAAAAAGAAAAGAAAAAAAGGTGGAGATGATGATTGAATTGTTGGAGGAGGAGAGATCACAGACGGATCTGTGTATATGCAACTTTTGTTTGTTTGTTTGTTTGTTTGTTTGAGTGGATGAGTGAGTGGATGAGATTCCTCGAGGAATATATATATATCTATTTACATATCTATTTATATATGGTAGGATGGTCTAACAACAATGACGAGAATAAAAATAAGAATAGTCATTATCATCAATTCCTAATATTAATTGCAGTCAAAAAGCATAATATGTCTCTATCTCTCTCTTTTTTTTTTTTTTTTTTTTTTTTTTTTCCCTTTTTTTTTTCTTTTTCTTCTTGTTTTCTCTCTTTTTTTTTTTTTTTCTTCCATATTTCTTTCCTCTTTTATGGGTTGANTTTTTTTTTTCTTTGTTTCTTCCATATTTCTTTCCTCTTTTATGGGTTGAATACCATATCTATCCATACCCACACACACTCACTTCCCTATGTAGAAAAAGAAGTAATAGTAGTAGTAATAGTAATAGCCTACTTACATAGTTATCTATTTAGTGACTTACTTACCTACTTACTTGCTTGTCTACATACACATCAACAAAGAAAAAAAAAAAAGAGAATCTCACCAAAACAAGAAGAAGAAGAAAAGACACACCAACACACATATATATATATATATATATATATATATAGGCCCATCCCTCAGTCCGTCTGTCAGTTCTCATTCTCCACAAACTCAATCTCACTTCAATGGGCTCTGGTGGCTCCGATCCCAGCAACCCGCAGGTGTTATTAATCCACAACGTGGAGGACGGCATCAAACGCTTCGGCAATGCGAGTAAAGAATACGTCGCGGCGGTGCGGGCGGTGAGTGCGTCCCTCGAGCACCTCGCCGTCGCGATGCGGCAGTTGTCCCTCGGCGACATCCCACCGGAACTGCACGCCCGCATTGATCGCTTCGGCACAGTCGTCGGATTACACCAAAGTGCCGCCGCCACCAACAACAACAACAACCGCAAGGGAAGTGTTGGGAATGAAAGTAATAATGATATGAACAGTGTGAATCACAGGAACAGTGCCAGTAAAGTATCTGTGCAGTTGGATTATCCATTAGCACCGTATATTAATGATTTCTCAAAGGATGTTGGGAGTGCCACGGATGATCTCAAGATGCTGACAAAGATGGCTCGCAAGAAGCAGGAGGAGTATGAAAGTGCCGCTAAGAAATATAATGAAACACGTCTGGAAGTGGAAAAGATTGAAAAGAGTGATGTAAAGAAAAACCGCAACTCCGCCGATAATCCAAAATACACAAAGAAAATAGAAAAACGGGAAAAACAACGGGTGGAGGCGGAGCAGAAGGCTCAGGAATTAAACAAGGCCTGCCAAGCACTCATCACACGCCGGGCAGAAGTAATGACTCGAGTGATGGACGCGATGGGATCGCAGACATTCCGCTATTGGAACGGCATCGCTCATTTAATGCAGGACGGCTCAATGGGCGGCAGCAGAAGCAACAGTGTTGTGTAAAAAGAAAAAAGAAAAGAAAAGAAAAGCAAAAAAAAAGAAGAAAATGAGAAAAAAAAAGCAAGAAAAGCAAAAAAAAAGAAGAAAATGAGAAAAAAAAAGCAAGAAAAGCAAAAAAAAAGAAAAAGAAAATACAAAGGGAAAAGATAGAAAAAAAAAAAGAAAAAGGTTTTCAAGGGAACAAATGGCAGCGCTTGTTATGACAACTGCCATTATTATTATTATTACTGCTATTGGATTCGTTGCTGGGGATGCGTGATGTATCGAAATTTTTTTTTAAAATAATTCCTTCTCCTATAAAATGCTTTTTTTTTTCTTTTGCTTTTCCGTGTTCGTATTGATATCTTTTGACCGTGTCCGTAGGGGCTACATATATATCCTTTTTCTATATATATATATATCTATATACATATATCTATGTAGAAAAAGAGGCAAACAAAACATCAAAAACAACAGCGAAAAAAAAAAAAAATACCAAGATCAAAGTAAAACCGACCATGAAAAAACAAAAAAAAAAAAACAAAAAAACGAACGAGAAAAAAAGAGTATATGATACATAGAACAGCTTTCCACGAAAAAAAACAACAAAAAAAAAAAACGTACGGAGGGGAAAAAGTAAAAAAAAAAAAAAGGAAATAAATATATTTTGCTGTATGGTCCCATGGTCTGCCTAACCCATAGGTTTATATTTCCTTGCCTATGTAGTTGTTGGCATTTTACGCCTTGGTGACGTGTTAAGGTTATTTCTTTCTTTACCTTCGCAGAATCTAATGGACTGGGCTACTGTGTTGGGATATTGTGGATTTCGTTTCTGTTCTTTTCCGCGGGTCCTCGCGCCTGAGGCAACAGGACGGTTCTCAATACACACACACTGCGGTATTGTAGATGCTGTCTGTTCATATCTATCTATCTGGTTTTCTCATTCATACATTTTTTTTACTATCTTTTTATTCTATTTCTATTTGTATGTTTCTCTTCTTCTTATTCTTACATCTGTTCGTTTCTCTAAAGGGAAAAAGATAAGGAGAGAACCGGGTCGGTATCATAACTCTGTCAGTAATCTAACATATATAGGACGAGGAAAGCGGAAAGAAGAAGAAGAAAGGCAGTATACGTAAAAGACTAGTGTTAAAGGGCAACACGAAGAAAGATAAAAAGAGAAAGAAAAGAAAAGACAGAGATAAAGATACCAAATAAGAAGAATAAACCCATTCTCATGACCAAAACTAAAAGGTTCTCTGCAGATTCTGACTTTGAGCAGTGTATGCACAATGCCGAGACGGTGAAAAAGAGATTGGGTACACTTGATGACTCTCTCAAAAGGTTTATTATTGCCGTCTCAGATACAGCGACTGCCTTTGAGTGTGTTGGGAACTGTTATGTAGATATGGCCACAGCGGCAACTGTACAGGCCGGCAATGAAGAACACAGTGCCGTTAGCAGACAAGTAAATGACACGCGAAGTGCATTATACAACTCTGCGAGGATCTTCGCAATGGAGATGCGTGAGTTGAAAGATGGACAGGCGTTGGTGAATTACAGAAGTGATATACATAAGCGGATTATTGAACTGCTGCGGCCACTGCGTGAGACGGCAAAAAGAACCGTTATTGCCGGGAAGACGAGAAGTGATTTACATAAAAAGTACCGGAAAGCAGTAGATGTGGTGGTGAAGAAGGAGAGAAAGTATGAAAAGAAGAACAAGCCAATCAGTGAAAGCAAACTATACAAGAAACAGGAGGCAACTCGCGATAAAGCATATGAGAGCTTTGTAAAATCAAATGAAAATTTCGTCTCACTATACAATGATCTCATTATGAACATTGAAAAGATCACTGGACAGACATTGGACAGTTTTGTGGACATCAGTTCCTCTTTACTGCAATACATGCTAAAGACCATTCAAGGTGTGATGGAAGATGTCACTAAACGTTATCCAATGATGGATAGTGTCTTTGTCAGTAAAGTTCGTAGAGAACGAAGCCCACAAGAATACAGCCCACCTCTTCAAGATAATAATAACCGTTCTCCACCAACCATGTCCTCCCGTATGAAGGTTGTGGATGTGCCCAACAGTGAGCCTGTCGCCAATGGCAGTAGTGTACATAATCACAATGGAAACACAGAGCCACTTGATTATGCACATCAGGCGGAAGAAGATCTGTATTTACTTAACTACGTCGATCTCCACACCGAATCCGAAACCCGTGGACAAAGTATGGAGCAAGAGGAACAACCAATGACCGCACTGGGACCTCCCTCAGCATCACTCGAAGTGTGTGCGACATCTGCACATGAACCCTTGCGTGTTGATTCTGAGTAAGTGAGTGAATGAGTGAGTGAATGAGTGGAAAACAAACAAACAAACAAAAACAAAAAAAAAAAGACATCTTGAGGCAAAATGAGGCCAGGGTAAATACTGGTATTTCATGATTTTTTTGTGCCTTTTTTTCCCCCTGGAGACTGCAGAGGTGCATGAGGGTCTTTCTGGGGTTTATTTAGGGAAACAGAAAGCAAACAATGATTATGATAGTAACAAAAGCCTTTGGTAAGAAATACATACATATATATATGTATATACATATACATTACAGACATTCATATAAAAATGTATAAATACATAGAACCACCTTCTGCAAAAAAAAAAAAAAAAAAAAAAGCGTACGGAGGGGGAAAAAGACGAAAAAAAAAAACCGTAATTTTTATTTTATGCTCCCATGGTCTGCCTACATCTATGGGCTTATATATATTTCTTTGACTACGTCCTTTTTGGCATTTTACGCTTTGGTGACGTGTTAAGGTTATTTCTTTCTTTACCTTCACAGAATCTAATGGACTGGGCTACTGTGTTGGGATATTGTGGATTTCGTTTCTGTTCTTTTCCGCGGGTCCTCGCGCCTGAGGCAACAGGACGGTTCTCAATACACACACACTGCGGTATTGTAGATGCTGTCTGTTCATATCTATCTATCTGGTTTTCTCATTCATACATTTTTTTTACTATCTTTTTATTCTATTTCTATTTGTATGTTTCTCTTCTTATTCTTCTTACATCTGTTCGTTTGTCTAAAGGAAAAAGATAAGGAGAGAACCGGGTCGGTATCATAACTCTGTCAGTAATCTAACGTATATAGGACAGGGAAGAAGTAGTACGTTGGATAAAATATTTGGGAGCTGTTCCTCAGGGTATATATATATATATATATATATATAATATGCTTCGTTTAACTTTTCGTAGTTATAGTTGCTACGCTCCTGCTGTTGGATGTGCCTTTTTACTAGACACTCTCTATGGCTCCAAGTACAGTCCACATATTGGGATGTGTAATATGCCGTATGTTTACATTAAAACTGTTCTCTTTTGCGTTTCTGGAAGGGAAAGAAGGGAATTGCGGGAACTTGAGCGTAATTATGTGCATGGCCTTATTGAATGTCTTCTCCCCAGTAACAGTTTGCAGGATGAACAGACCAAATTGGAGTTAATGCAGTTTGTGGGAGCCATGCCATCCCGCACAAGTGGTGTCTCTGCTGCAACCCCAACAGCCACAACAGTCTCTGATATGCATAGACGAAATGAAGCCATAGCCGCATTCCAATCTTTATCCACAACAACAACAACATCATCATCATTAGGATCAACAGGGCCCGTACGTAGTGGTAGTAGTAATACTAGTAGTAGTAATAGTAATAATACTAGTAATAGTGGTGGTAGTAGTGGTAATAGTGGTAGTCCACAAGTATTAGAGAATATAGCGTCTTTGCTTTCAGGGGCTCTATTGCCGGCGGCGTTAGCACGTGTATTATTATACGATGCGGTGTGTGTTTGTGTAGCGGATGGTGAGTATGATGACGGCGAGAGAGAGAGAGTCTCGCAGGTGGCGGCCAAACTTGGAATTCCCCATCATGTGCGAGAGGCGATTGAGAAGGTTGCCGTGCAGCAGCAGCAGTTGTCTATACGGAAGCGGCATTTACTACTTGGGAATGATACCCCACCACTGCGGTGATCCTCTCTTTCTCTCTTTTATTATTATTATTATTATTATTATTATTATTATTATTATTATTATTATTATTATTATTATTATTATATCCCCTTTCTTCTATGTGTGTTATGCACTCCCACCCCTCCATCTCCTCCTCCTCCTGTTTGTTATTCCTTCGCAGCGCTCGATTGGCAGTTTACTTTACCATGTGTTGCTGTTTATATTTCTCTTTCATATGGAATTTGCTGCTTCTTTGAGGGTTCTTCGCAATGTTGCTATGCATTCGGATTTTATTTTATTTTTATTTTTTTTCTTCTGTTTTTTTCCTTTTCCAAGATATATTAAATGTGTTTTTTTTTTTCCTGCCTGATGGACTGTAATATTATTCCTCTGTATTTCTACACTTCACCATTTCTTTTTCTTTCTTTCTTTCTTTCTTTCTTTCTTTCTTTCTTTTCTTTCTTCTGCTTCTCACATATATTAATTTAAATAATAATAAATATAAACAAAGCCGGTAGCGTTCCCCCCCTCGACGCACAACGGACAGGCACTGTGAACAACGTTCAAATATAGGCAGGTAAAGAATACACAACAACAATAGACGATAGCAGAGAAAAAAAAAAAAAAAACACTACAATAAGGAAGAAGAATAGAAGGAAAATAGAAGAAAAAAAAAGGGCGCAAAGGCGGTTGAAACCAAATAGACGGTTATCCAAGATATCTGGATTTCTTTGGTGTTTCCCCCGCCGCTCTTTATATATTATTATTATTCTTCTTGTTCTTGTTGTTGTTGTTGTTTTTTTTTTCTTTTTACTGATTGTTAGTGATTCTTCCTGTATTTGACGGATTCTGTGTCTATTTTTCTTTGTGCTCGATATCATAGAAATGGCTTCACTTGGGCCTCATGCAGTAATTCCAGTTATGTCCATATGTGGTTTTCTCGCTGTACTTATTGTGGCAATCCTTATTTACTTTTTCTGTTGTCTCCGTCGGCGTGATGTCTCTCATAAGTATCATCATTACCCAGGATTTACACGCCGCCGTACATTTGAGTTAACATCCCATCCTTCACCGGGAATCTATTCATCACCATTGGAGGTAGAATTAAAGTCCACCTATGGGGATCAGTGTGATATTCTCGTGGATGTAAACTATATACCACATGAGGAAAATACAATCGATGTCAGTGGATATGCTGAGAATAATAATAATACTGTTAAACTTATCGGTACAGATGAATACTATAGTGATCAGTTTTTACTGTACACGGCACCATTGGTATTTAATGATCCTGGGAACTACACCGTGTACGCACATACAGTATATCCATCACTGCAGATTGTGGGAGCTGTACACCAGTTCTCTTTTACGGTAAAACTTGAGACCCAAGGAGCATTGCAAACTCTTCAGCAACAATCACAACGTCAGGAAAGTGAACAACAGGTAAGTATTAATGTTTATCGCGACCCTGGTAAATACGCACTTTCACCACAGACTGACAGTTACCTTAAACCTCTTCCTCCTCGTATTATTCCTGAAAAGGGTGAGGTGACAACTTTTACATCTATTATCATAGCACCTAATGAGGGAAGTACAACTCCAGATCAGATTCGATATAGTGTAGATGGTTCATTTCCATCTCTCTTGTATACTGGACCTTTTACCCTTTCCACTATATTATTTGGTATGGATAGTAAAAGTAAACGTCAACCGGTAACTGTCCGTGCAATCGCCATATCAGGAGTAGATGGATCGCAAACAAGTGATGTAGTAGAGGCTCACCTTATTGTTTTTGAAGCGGGCCATACTTTTTTTGATCCTAATATACCATCACCCATAGCACGAATTCGAGCTTTGGGTGCAGAGCTGTACTTTGATGAATCACAACGTCCACCAAATACCAATATTATGTATCAATTAGTGTATATTGGAGAGGCTAGACAAAAACCCAAATTTTCCCGTAAAAAGGGAGTCCTGTATGGTGGAAGACCAGTTCCACTAAGTGAAGATGTAGCATTTATTTATGCATGGACATTTTTAGATGATAGAAATCAACAAATGAATGGTGACGGACGCCGCAATGTGCGTAGTTCTGCAGCTGTATATGATTGTTGCCGCGCCACTACATGGAATAGAGGACCGCGTGAAGAGATATTTGAAGAAGGGGAAAGATTACAACATCAACAAACTCTCCCACCACCATGTATTTGCATAAGCTGTAAAGAGATGGATCTCTACTTTGAGGATCCTCCAGCAGGTGGGATTATCTGTTACACCTTGGATAGTACAGAACCTGTACAACCAGATGCCACCACCACAACAGCATTTATGGCTGGAATTGGGTTTGCTGGCTCAACACATCTTCCAAAGACCCATGGAAAGAAGTTAAACTTAAGTACCCACATCTACAAAGAGAATCAACCCATTCATGTCACTTTACTACAAACAGAGGAAGTGTTTTTGGCAGCACGTACATTTATTCCTGTTGTAGATCCTGCAGCTGGAGGTGTAGTGACAAGTTACCGATACGGTGAACGTTTTTACCGTGGATTCTTAAGTCAATAGAAGATACTGCTTATACATTTTCTCTTACTGAAAATGAAAAAAAAAAGTAACAAAAAAAAAAAAAAAACCAAATCAATATGTCTGATGAGCCAGTTGCAAAGAAAACAAAATCAGAGCATGATCGGAATTGATGTACGTTTTTTTTTTTTTTT